TACCGTAAAGCTCGCTTTCGAGCAGGCCCTGTCGGGCCAGCGTCGCCGAGCTCGCTATAAATAACATTCTTCTCTGTTGATAGGCATTTTATAACAGTTTCCAGAAAAGGCCCGACAGTTGCTTCTAAAATATTTAAGTAGATTGCCCATGAGTTTGCTTTTAAAAGTCAGATTGCCCATTTTGTAATTGCATGTTCCCGACCTACTGACTTGAAAGTCTGTCCACCTAGGGTAAATAGCACTAGTTTTCCCCCAAAAATCTATTTTCTTTAACACTGGATCAGATTAAAACTTTACATGGTTTAAAATATACTATTTTCTTCATTTTAGCAGGATAAAACCACCAATGTTGTCCAAAATAACCAAAATCTATCATTGCCGATACTGCAAGTATGCCAAATGGAGGCAGCCATTTTTTTTCTTTGGCTATATCCGTACTGAACGGTACAATTCTGGAAATCAGTTGCTATCAAATATATGTCATTTTCTTGGTATTTTAGTAAAGTAATATATTTTGTAGGATTATTATACAAATGATTATTGGAGTAAAGTGGTGCAGCAAATACACTATATACGTATACGTATTAACTTTCATAAAAATTTAAAGTATAAAAACATTCACCACCATACTATTAAAAAATATGTTATACTCAAGAATATTTTGCATGATGATAAAAAGTTTTTAACGGGGAAAAAGATATAGTTGTAACTCTCTACTATGTAGTTAAGTATATGGTATAAATAACGTCATAATAAGTTTCCCCAAATTGACTTTTTTCGTATATTTTTTCCCCTCCCTACCAGCGTCCAGCGTCTTCCCCTTTTCCTAAAAAAAACCCCTGGGATCACTGTGGCTGTCGATAAATTTATAAAGTTTAGCATTCTAGCTCGTTCTGGAGCTTTCCTCTGCCTGTTTAGTTCTGCATAAGTCCTATAAATATGACGTTCGTTGTTTTGAGATATTATTCATAGCATGTAACATATGAAATTTTCGACTGCCAGGTCTCGATGAATTTTTCTAGGGTCTTCTAGACCCTTCAAATTTACTTACCCATCATAAAATGTACTTGCCCTACATTTTGATGGACAAAATTTGTAAAAATCAAACATAGACTCATATTTATTATTTACCAGTCTATATCGGTATAATCACCTTTATTCATTTACATATTGTTAAATAATGTATATAATACTTCATTCTTTTGATAGATATATTATTATAGGAAGTGGCTAGCCGTACGGGCCCGTACGGCTAGCCAAAAGTTCTAGCCGTACGTGAGTCACGTACGACTAGCCTGGACACACTGTATTGGCTAGCCGTACGGCACTTTTCAAAATTATATGGAAGTCGAAAATGCATATGTTATTTTGTGTCTTTAAACAACGATTTTAATCAAATCTCCGCATTTGTCCTAGTAAGTTCACTTTAATAAAGATACTCTGCAATTTTGCACACACAAAAATGAATACGAGTAAGCGTTGTATAATCTATCTTAATAAAAATAAGTGTCAAAGTTGGATGTTATAACGTCCTTAATTTTCATGCTATGATTGTATGAAAGATGAATTGTTTCAAGCTGTTAATTAAGCACATGGATCGAATAAATAATGATCGGAGGGGAATAATAAATAAATAAAAAAAGGAATATTAAAAAAAAAGTGAAAAGGAAAAATAATTTAATAATGCAAACTTTTCTTAATAATGGACGATGGACAAACTTCTATACCGTCGGTAATTGGCGCAATTATCAGAGCCCAACAACAGTTATTTTCGGTGTTTTTTTTTTTTTTTTTTTCAATTTAAAAATTAAACTTAATGAAACAAAAAAGGATTATTATCAAAATTTTGTAAACTATTTCAATTGATGTTATTTAACTGCAACCAAACGCTATTTTCGTTCGACGACGTGTTGAGATGACAAAGTAAATTCTTTACTGTAGCCAACACGTCGATTAATCTCTAAAAAGCAACCATTCTTGACTAAAATCATCGCTTAAAGTCATTATCAACATATGCACTTAATTTCGCCTTCCATATATTTTTGAAAAGTGCCGTACGGCTAGCCAGTACATTGTGTCCTGGCTAGTCGTACGTGACTCACGTACGGCTAGAACTTTTGGCTAGCAGTACGGGCCCGTACGGCTAGCCACTTCCATTATTATATATCCTGGTTGTACTATCTATCGGGAATGTAAGCCTTATTAGGCCCACCATCATATAATACAGAAAAAATCTAGTATGAAATAGTTATTTACTTAAGGAGCTACCATTTTTTGATAAAAATAACAATGGACCTTTCCGAGTTTTACAGTTTTATGTAAATTGGCTAACTTGTTATCCAATTGCTACACTGAGATAATACATAGTCGCTGGTTGACCTGGTTTGCACAAAAGAACACGTGCTTATGTTTGTGATACTGTTTGTGAGCAGTTGACCTAGCAATGAATGGATAAGGTGTGGCTAAATGTTTCGCTACAAAAAACTGGAAAGGTCCATTATCCAAAAGAAATTTTAACTATACAACAAAAAAGATAGTTCTGTAAATAATCTCATATGAGTGGCAGCCATCTTTGTTTTTAATTTTCTGAATCCCAGGAATGACTTTTAAGCAATTAATAAAAAGTTATAAACATATGTAAATGGTCCATTACTGCAAATGATACTAAAGTTCTATTCAATATTTATCAGTTATCACAAAGTAAAAGGGTAACAATTTGATAAGCATTTGCACAAACATTCAAAATATCATGTTGGGTCTAAATCATTAGCAATACTACTGGTTGTTATACGTAAAACACATTTATGTGAATAAGGTTATTAAAACTTTGAGTTTTCTCTAAAAAAAATGCTATATTTTGTATGAAATTAATGTGAAAAACTATTGCATACAAAAGAATTTTTATATAAGTATTATTTGCAATATCTGGACATTCCCGGTACAAAGTACCTCCCGGTATAAAGTACCTTGAGGATATAATCTTCAACATAACCGAATATACTAATTAAATGCACGCAGGCACTTTACTTAAATATCAACCTCTTGGCCAAGTATAAAAATTAATTACTGAAAGCGTTTAAAACATTGTCGAATGCTAGTGCCGTTACCGAATCGATTCATGATACACGTTTGGCATGACGTTTGGTAACGTTTTATATCTACTAACCTAGTCATAAGGTTAATTTCCCGTTTTCATTTGACAGTATTACGATTGAAAAGGCATCTGATTTTTTTGTTACTGAAAATCTTCATTTACATTAAATCTTTAGAGAAACATCATTGGATCAGGAGAATCTCGCTAGCCCTGTCAGGCGATTTTAATCTATTTTTTCCTCACCCGCCCCAAACTTTCACTTTCAAATGCTAGCGGGCGAGTGGATTTGTCATGGCCTGACTACTATAAAACTTGTGTGCTTCAAGTTATTCGAGTTTGAATCACCAGATTAAAAAAAAACAACATAATTACTTACCATCCCAAACCATTCTTTCACTCCCTTTTTGCAGATGTTGTAAAAATATTTTTGGTAAACTCCATTATAAATACATTTTCTTAGTATTGTCAGACAACCTAAATTTGTCCCTATTGGTATTCTAGAGTCAACACGGACAGTGCGTATCAACAAATGTTCGAAACAGTATGATATCTTTAAATATCAAAGAAAAGTTCTTTAACATAGAATGCTTGGATCATTAGAAAATATAGTGCATCAAACTAGCATGGTTAAAATACTTTGGGTAATGTCAGAGTCATTGCCACCTGTTTTAAGAATCATTTGTCTATTGCAGTCAATGTTTCTATGGTTTCATCCTCATTGACATATACATGTATCCATGTGACAGGTATTAACATTTGTCTAAGTTGGTCTTTAAGTCATAAACATAAGCAAAATATTTTACTCAACATCACTAATTCCGCGTCATCACTTATTTCATGGTAATGCCATATTCAATGTGACCAGCTTTAAAATTGGTCAGAATCGACATATTTTATTCAAACACCTAAGCAACAAAGTTTTTGTGCAAAATATTTTAAATCTGTAATATTTGACATAAAACAGAGCAATATTTTACATTTTAAAATTTCTTCAAAAAGCAAAAATAATCAGTTAAATGTGTGCATATGTCTGAAACAATCATCAATTTCTATTGTTCTTGTTTGTTGAAAAAATAATTTTTTGAGTTACAAAGTTTAGATAGTTTTAATATTTAAAATTATAAAAAATAACATGTAGGAATTTTAACCGAAACAGGAAAAACTGAAATAAAACACCATTACCACGATTTGAATGATGAAATATTGTTTTCAAAATGGCCGACATATGGTCTACCTCTGGCTCATTTAAACTGATTTTGACTAAATATATTGTTGTTTCTCTTTGTGTCATTTAGCAGAAAATACCTATATGTTACAGCTGATGACAATGTTTGTACCATAAGTTTCATGTGTTGTTTTCTTTCTTGCTTAAAAGCATTAAGTACCATGAACTTAGAGGAGCACAGTATATTTATTTTAAGTAAAAAAATGAAATCGGCATTTTTTTCTCATTTCTGCAAAAAATTACAGATAACAGAAAATATCACAATATCCAAGCATAGAGTTGTCAGTTATTATTTTGACAACTTATCAGTTGGACTACTCCCTGGCCTAGTTTTAGTTGTACAATATTTACTACAAGTTGAGATATTACACTATTTCATATATGATGAAAACACATTCCATATTTAGTGTTTGTATTTTTTGGTTTTAATGCGCTTCTTACACTAGCATGCATGGGATTTTTTTTTAGCTATGGAAAAAACTTGTATAATTTTGGTTATTGTATGTGGGTAGAAAATATTTGAACCCCCCCCCCAAAAACATACCTATAAGAATACTCCACTGAAAACCACGGCACCATATTAAAAAAATAGTTTATATCCAAAAATTGAAAGCCCCAGAAAAATGAATGATCAGTATCATCACAACATCAATAGCATCATCCCATGCATATGACAACTCTAGAATCATTTATGTTTCTTTCTCTTTATTTTAAGGTCCGATGCTTGGGCTAGGTAGACAGCAGAGGTTTAAGTTAATGCTTCGAAGATCAGCTGCAGGACTGCTTGCATTGTGTACTGTTTTGACAAGACATACTCGTGGCATTATGGCATGGAGGTCGAGTGGAAGTAGCAATGCAAATTTGATTGATAATTTACATGGTATCTTTATATAATATTTACTGTGTTTTAGAATGCATACAGGTCTACTATGATCCTTTGAAGTAGTGAAATGGTACCCTTTAGGCTTTAAAGATTGCAAAGCACTGAAAAAATAAAATAGAAAAATGTTACAGGCTTTGTTTAATAGAAGCATATTGAAGTTAATAAATTCCTTTTTGCTATAGTTAAGACATTACATCATCTTGTAATGGCTTAAGTAAAATCCAAGCAGTATACAGTGTAAATGTAAATGCTAGCACTATGTCTATAAATATAGATGGGCTAGTTTACAATCTAGGTGTATACTATACTATGAGTGAAATATATTTGATATCTTTACAGCAAATGGAATTATAAAATCGGATAGAGTTGTAAGTGCCATGAAAGCTGTGGATAGAAAGAATTTCGCCAAACATAACCCATATGCAGACTCTCCACAGACCATTGGTTACCATGTTACAATAAGTGCACCTCATATGGTAAATCTTCTCATTTCTGTTTCATGTGTTGGTGATGAGGCTGCCTCATATGATGTCCCATGTTCCTGCCCATTATTAAAAGAATAACTTTTGATTAATATATAAATAGACATTTAATAGAAACATATTTTACATTGATGACTTTAAACTGTGCTAGAGATGGAATTTTTAAAACTCATTATTGCACTTCAATACTTTGATTAATCAGTATTCCTTAACAATGATCATGTTTTATAATATGACAAAGATAATCAGTTACATACATGTATATGCATGTCCTATAAGTAAAACAATTTGTTGTGGACTCAATGATTTTTGTACTGATAAAAAGAGGGTATTGTATTGACAGGAAGAATGAAATTATTTCAGCATGCACATGCATTAGAGCTGTTATCTGGACACCTGAAAGAAGGTTCAAAAGCTTTAGATGTTGGTTCTGGAAGTGGTTATCTCACAGCATGTATGGCTCTCATGGTAAAATTGTATTACATTGATGAATAACTCCTATCTTGTTGAACTTATTTAATTCTGTAGAAGATCAAAATTTAACTGTTTATGTGTAGTAAATTTGGTCAAAAAAATAACGTAAAAACGTGTTATTAAACCATTACTGCATGAGCATTTTGTGAAAAATGGCTGTTTTCATTGAAAAGTCTCCCGTTACAAGTTCAAATTGCTATAAAACTATAAAAACTTCTTCAATACTAATCAAACTTGGCACAAATGTTGACTGGACCATTGCCTTTGTAACAACATGCTTAGTCTTAAATTTCCTGTTACCATGGTAACGAGGGGACATCTCAAAATTGCCAAAAATCAATATTTTGCGTTGATTTTTTCCATCAAAATTGATTTTAAAGTACTGCAACTTCTCAAGGGATTCAGACAGAGTCAATGGCTTTTCAGCGTGGTTACATGTTACCTTATGATCGACCTGGGGTCATTTTTAGCCTCTCACAAGTCAAAAATTTGAAGGTTTGTTCATTTTAAAGCAAATTAGGATCTCTGTATGCAGAAAATACTGTTTAACGGCTTTGTGATGTGCAGCGCCGAAAAGTGCTCACTTTTTTTTATCAACATTTCTGAAATGAAAACATGTGTTTGGGGCCCAAACAGGACATTTTTTCACTATTTGAGGCCTAAAAGAGGGGGGGCGGGGTCGAAAGTGCGTTGTTTCGGGTATATATGAATTAAAGGGTTAATTAGAAATTATTCATGCATTATCATGGGCACTTTATGTGTTTATTATTAGTATACAAGCTTTAATCATAGTAATGTTTTTTTGCCTGAGGGGGACGTTCACTATTGAAATAATTCCTGGAAAAGAGTCTGCACTTCTTACAGTAAACAATGATTCATTTTTTTTAGCTGCAAAAATCTCACATATAACATGTTACTTTGTCTCTTCTATTATGAAACATGCTCTTCTGATGTAATCGTTGTATTTTCATACAGGTAGGTCCTCAAGGTAAAGCTGTTGGTATAGATCACATAAAAGAACTTGTAGATGGGTCAGTAGATAATATCAAAAAGGATCCAAATTTGGCAAAGTTGCTGGAGACAGGACAAATCACTATGGTAACGGGTGATGGAAGGAAAGGGTACGAGCCTGAGGCACCATATGATGCTATACATGTAGGGGCAGCTGCTCCCACTTTACCTCAAGATGTAAGTTACATGTATATCGTTTTTGATAGAAAATGATATTTATCTTTTTATGGGATAGAATAAAAATGACTTACATGCATTCATATCGTTAAAATAAAAAAAAAAGTTACTGTAAACAACATATACATATCCAAAATTTGTCCTCTTGAAATGAAAGATAGAGTATCAAATTTTCTCGTATAATGACATTTTCGTATAAATCCAACAGGTCAGATCATTACTTTGAATGCTTTACTAGCAGGATGATTAGTGATGCAATAAAAAGCATTTTGCAATACATAGATCTATATCGCAACAAAAAGTTCTCAAGACACATAATATTTCCTAATCTACATGTTTAGTAGTAATCTGCATGTTTAGTAGAGAATCTATGTTTAATTAAAATATGTTTGAAATTTTGTTTTCTTTTAGCTAGTTGATCAGTTGAAACCAGGAGGACGGCTTATCATTCCTGTAGGCGGACAGGGCGAAAATCAACAATTACAGCAAATAGATAAATTAGCAGACGGTACAATAAAGAAACAGAACTTAATGGGCGTGATATATGTTCCATTGACAAGCAAGGAGAAGCAATGGCCAAGGTTTCGATAAAAGTTTCCTACTCTGTCTATCCCTCTGCATGGGTTTATACCAGGTGTATATCTTGTACCCAGCTTTTTTCTGCTTCTTTTCTATTAATTAACCATCTGTATAGTTAACCTTTTCACATAGTACTCTAACTCATTTGAGCTGTTAAGATCTATGGTTGTCTACAATGAGGGATACATGTAGAAGTGGATTAATGTCCCCTGAATAGTGTAGTTAGTTCCAGGGTTGTCATTAATAGTTTTTGCAGAAGATTTGTTTTGAATTTGAGGTGGTCATTTTTGTTTATATCATATATAACAAAGAATGTTTCCTTAATTATGAGGTGGCCCGAAATGCATATAAGACAGTCATTTTGGCCTGCTACCACCTCTCAATGACAACCCTGTGGTTCTGTACTTCTGTTTGTCCTATCTATTATTACTCATTTTAATTGTGATGTCTGCATCATTCAATTTTAAATGTTATGGTTTTGAATTATGATTGTAAATTTTTCATTTTAATGCTTCATAAAAAACCTATTTTCCCACTCTTCAGACACACTAACCTAGTCAATGTGGCTCATAACAACTTCTTGTATTTATTTGCATTTAATATATTTCATATATAGGTAGACTGCATAGACATATACCCTCTGGTGAAGTTTGAGGATCATTTGATCAAATGCACGGTTACTGAGAATAAAAAATAATGCAATTTTCTTTAAGTGCATTCTTTATTTCACCATTATTTAAGATATGTGATATAAACTTTCCTTGACCTCTACCCTTCTGTTGAGTTTAAGGGTTACATGGTCAAGTTCACTTCGACTTTAAGACTTTAATAAATAAAAGTATTGTTTATTTATACTTTTTCTTATATAGCCTATATTTATTGACTGATATCTGAGATATTGATTTGTTATTGCACACTTTGTAAAATATAACCAATGAACTTCCAGCATTTTAACCATGTGATATTTCAATAGAAATCATTATCAGATCCAATATCATCAATTTACATGTAGCCTTGTTTATATTTCCAGATTCCAAATAATATATCAAATGCATATTGTACCTCATATAACCTCTTTTTCATTTTCAGAGTCCAAAATATCTATATCAAGTGTGTATCGTACTCCATCTAGGCTCATAAATATCTGTATCAAGTGTTTATTGTACTCCATCTAGCCTCATTTTTAGCTCGACTTTTTTTTTTTTGAAAAAAAAAAGTAGAGGTATTGTTATAGTCAGGTCGGCGTTGCCGTTGCCGTCTCCGTTGCCGTTGCCGTTGCCGTCCGAAAACTTGTACCTGGATCATAACTTTTTTATTTCTTGGTGTATTGTCTTCATACTTGGCCACAACAACCCTTTGGACAAGACCTTTCAGTAGACCACACTAACCTTGACCTTCATCCATAAATGACCTTGACCTTCAAGGTTAAAAGTCCAATTTTTGCTTGTTCATGCTGTTATTGGCTGTTACTTTGTTATTTTTGAATGGATTGTCTTCAAACTTGAACATAATAATCTTCAAGGATATCCCTTAAAAATAACCAGTCAGACCTTGACATTCACTCATCAATGACCTTGACTTTGAAGGTCAAATAATTGAATTTTTCATTTTTTTGGCTATTATTGGCTGTAACTTTGTTATTTTTGAATGGATTGTCTTCAAACTTGAACATAATAATCTTCAAAGATAACTGTTAAAAATATACCGAAAGACCTTGACCTTCACTCATTAATGACATTGCCTTTGAAGGTCAAATTATTGAAATTTTCATTGTTTTGGCAGTAAATGACTGTAACTTTGCTATTTTTGAAGGGATAAACTTCATATTATAACAGAACATTCTTAAGGACCAGACCTTGTTGTTTATCAAACCCAAATTTGCTTGGGCTCTTTAATGACCTTGACCTTGAAGGTTATATTACTGAATTTTCTCAGATTGTGCATTTATTGGTGTGTGTGTATGTATAGTATATGTATAGTATTATATATATATAAATGTGTGTGTATATATATACATATATGCAGGTATATATATATATATATATATATATATATAAATATATATATATATATATGCATGTATATATATACATATATAGATATATATATATATATATCAAATATATATATATATATATATATATATATATATATATATATATATTATATATATATAAGCAAAAACGCTAATTTAAATTTGCCGTAGCTTAATAAATAAAATAATTTATACATGTATACAATTGCGTCATGTTTTTCTATTTTTAGAAATTGATACATTTTTTCTATTTTTATAAATTGCGTCATTGTTGCTATTTTTAGAATTTGCGTCATTTTTTTCTATTTTTAGAAATTGCGTCATTTTTGTTCTATTTTTAGAAATTGCGTCATTGTTTCTATTTTTAGAAATTGCGTCATTTTTTCTATTTTTAGAAATTGCGTCATGTTTTTCTATTTTTAGAAATTGCGTCATTTTTTTCTATTTTTAGAAATTGCGTCATTTTTTCTATTTTTAGAAATTGCTTCATTTTTTTCTATTTTTAGAAATTGCGTCATTTTTTCTATTTTTAGAAATTGCTTCATTTTTTTCTATTTTTAGAAATTGCGTCATGTTTTTCTATTTTTAGAAATTGCGTCATTTTTTCTATTTTTAGAAATTGTGTCATTGTTGCTATTTTTAGAAATTGCGTCATTTTTTTATATTTTTAGAAATTGCGTCATTTTTTTCTATTTTTAGAAATTGCGTCATTTTTTCTATTTTTAGAAATTGCGTCATTGTTGCTATTTTTAGTAATTGCGTCATTTTTTTCTATTTTTAGAAATTGCGTCATTGTTTCTATTTTTAGAAATTGCGTCATTTTTTTTTCTATTTTTAGAAATTGCGTCCTTGTTTCTATTTTTAGAAATTGCGTCATTTTTTTCTATTTTTAGAAATTGCGTCATTGTTGCTTTTTTTAGAAATTGCGTCATTGTTGCTATTTTTAGAAATTGTGTACTGTTGCTATTTTTAGAAATATGCTTAATGTTTCTATTCATATATATACAAAATATATAAACAAAACTAATGTGACAAGACAGACCAACTAAATTTATAAAAAGGAAACATCAATATATGTTCAAACCTTTCTATGTTTGCGTTTAGAAAAAAGTAAAAAGTCGAGCGTTGCCCCCGCCCGGCGGTGGCTCTTGTCTTTTCCAGGATCAAAGATTCATATCAATTCCTTATCATACTTGAAGTAACAAACTTTCGTCAAAACGTAAAAAAAAGTGAGATAAAGAGGTCATATACATTGTTGAGAACAATACTGTATTCTATTGGACTCATATACAGCTGCAAAACTTATATCAGACACAGCTAGTGCATCCTCCAATAGAGGTTTGACAGCTGTGTATTTGTCCAATGGAATTCTGATTCAGTATTGTACTCATCATTGTATAATGACCTTATGGTAGTTACCTTACATTTTCATCTGTCTTTTGTAGGGATGTTAGGGTCAATGTCAAAGTGACGGAGGCTACAAAATTTTGTTTGCTTGGTATGAAACCTTGTAATGTCTTTAGTGGTGTAAAACAGCATCAGAAGGTAGCCATTCTGGTATGCTTATTGAGGACATGGCTACAAGATATCTTGCGTAGTTGTTAAGGTCTAAATCACATGAAAAAAGGTTTCACTATGAAAGTTTTCTAAATTTAAACATTTGAATTATGTCCATAAATACATGCATATTTTTTATTTCAGTTCCAGAGATGATTTATGAATTTGGAAAACAGATCATTTCAAGGACAACATTTTATCATGACCTGGTATTTAGTGTTTACGAAACCATTTGCGAAACCATCATTCAAGCTTCCGGTGATGTACGGTAGTAACTTGGATTGTTTACTGGTTATTCGTTAATTGCCTTGATATTTGTTCATGAAATATCAGTTATCATTTCAAAATTTCATACACGCACATGGGAGCATTGAAATCCAGATTTTACTTTAAAAGGAGATAAATATGATGATATTTAAATCAGAAAGTTCACACGAATTTTGATACAATATCGTTTCAAAAAGTGGCTTCAGTGTTTGACACGGCTTCTGTGTTTGACAATGCACTTAACTTTATAAACACTAGTGGAGTGAGGGGATGAAGTGTGTTTTATTATCATTATTAATATTATAATTTCCATTATTTATAAAAGGCTTCGTCCAGTATTCATGGAAATGATTTGTTTCATCTTTAAATGAATTACGAAAGTGTTTTATTGTATTCTTTTTATAGGGCAACAATGTGTTTACTTCCTTTTTTTACAAATTGTGCCATTGAATGTTGTTGTAGCTTACATTTGCAACTCTTGAGCATTTTAAGAGTTAAAAGGTGGCTAATAACGAGTGAATAGATGACTTAATTTATTTAGTTAAATATTTCTTAGAAGACTAGAAATATTTTAATTCCAGATGTGATTGATAGTCTTAAGAAAACAATTCTTTTGCATTTTGAGCATGCATAGAAAATTGGTTAAAGTGAAATGTTTGAATGTAAGTAGTAAATATATAATGGACAGACAGGAGAGACATATAGATTTTGTCTTATTTGGAAATATCACCATAACTATATTTTGTTTAATTTGAGAACTGGATATGAAGGAGCCACTGACATTTGCCATATTTGACAAATTATTTGAGTTGTTTCAAAGGATGTAATTTTTGGCATGGTACCACCATATTTTTTGAATTTCTGAAAAAAAATTAAGTTGTTATGTTTTATCATTTAGAAGCTCTGTGCTTTTATTTTTATTGATTTTTGCAGATATGACATCTATGCTTTGGCAATTTTTCCTCAAACCAATTTGCATTCAGAAGTGTATTGTCCTGATTTTGCGATGCTGTTGTTTGAAATGTTTAAAAAAAACATTTTGGTTCAAGAAACTTTTATGCATTAATAAAAATGTAGATGTTTATCTATTTATATTTCCTGTATTTATTAAACCATTAAAAGATCAGATAATCTGAATACTTGGTTATCATCTTGTAATACTTTGTTAACTTATCAATAGTGCCAACCTGTTGTTTACCATTGAATTAACAATTCATTTACAATACCTGTATTTTTCACTTGTTATATGTCGCATTGCTGGTATATCTTCAGTTTCGTTTCTGAAATTCGTTTTTGATTTTATAATAACTGGTTATTATTATAATCTTGTTTCATAATATGTTCTAATCTGCTGAATAATATGTGATATTCAATAGCTTTTAAACAAACCGGTCTTTTCAAGATCAATTATTGTTCAGAATTGGAATATTGTTATTTAATTTCTCATAAAATGGCATCATAAGAGAAAGAGTTAGCTGTTAATTTATGAAAATCTATCTTGTTAAATTCATGATCCATAATCTTTCAAGATATTAATCACTAACCAGATGTTTTGTTTAATTCAAACATATCAATGAGTGCTAGTGCTGATTTGGCAGTGAGAAGTGTCTCTCTTTGTTTTATTTTCTCATTTATATTGTCTTGCTATAAGCACACACTTGTGTTGATTTATATTTGACCTTTGTTATATAATGCAATGAATTCAATTTGTCTTAAAGTTTTTAATTAACCCCAAAGCCAAACAAAGCACACTTTGACCCGAAGTAGTTACATGTATAAGCTAATTTGCCCATTTCTGCAGATAAAAGGTTATATTTAAAAGATAAATTGTTTTGCCCTTCCTGCTGTAACATGAAAATATGCTCCAGCTTACCTAAAGTCACCAAGACCAAGACCCATAGCTGTAGCATGGATTTTTATGCTCTCCAAAAAAGGGTGGAGGGAGCATTTACTGGAGTACCCACCATGTCCATCGTTCAGCCAATATTATTTACCAGTGTGCATTGAAATAAATGACAAATGTATCACTTGATCGGGAAGCTTCCATAATATTATTATTAAAGCAGTACTTCATGTCACAAAACTATTTGGCTTTGTGAATTACAGAAATTTATTCATTGGGGTGTATCTTGAAAGTTTTGTTTCCACATTAATCATAAAATTGTTCTTTAAAACATGTCTATTTAACCAAAGTTAACATCCAACAAGAATCACTTGAATTGTCAGTAAAGTTAACATACCAAAATGTGTCCTGCCCTGTACTCCTTACAAAAATGTCAGATTTTACAGTCCCTTGTGAATTTTTTTTTCCTGAGACTGGCTTTGTGTCCATTTTACATTTAGTATGTTATAACCTTAATTAGGCATCAACAATTTCAAAGGGTATGATATTTCATCTAATAATTTAAGACAAAAAAAGAAAATAACAACTGTTCTGTAAATTTTATTTTCACAGATGAAAAAAAGAGACTTGTAAATAAACAATATAAAGGAATGTAAAATAAAATACAGATAACAACAAAAGTAACATATGCTATTAATATAAATATGCGTAAAGCTATGTAAACTTCTCAAATATTTACCAAATATCTGCTCATTTTATCACAATTTTTTCTTTTGATAGAATTTTTAAATATAAACAAAATGTGGAATTTCAAGAAATAAAAGAGAAAGATATACCCTACATGTATGTATTGCAACACTTTTAAAGGAACTCCACTGAGGTCTAAAAAACATAAAAATTGAATTTCTTACGGGCACTTAAAATAGAAAGGTATGCAATAGATCATTCAGAAATACACTTAAAAATAAATTCAAAATCCAATGGAACATTAATCTTCAAAAATTATTTCAGGTCCCCTCATTTAAAAAAAAACCTCAATGGAATCCCTTTTACTGTACAGCATTACATGATCTAAACTAATAGCATGCATTTTCCATCTAAATATTATCTCATATAAACATATATACTAAGTTTCATAAACTTGTGAGTCTTTTAAAGCTAAATTTTGATTATTTTCTCTACATTAGCTATAATCGCTTTAACAAAATGGAAAAACTAAATAACTATACATACCCTTAATATTGCTATTAACTATCTCCACATATAAATTTTCTTCAACATTCATTGTATTATTCTATAATTATCCCAGGAACAACCTGGTCAGACCTGAATTTGACTACATTGTATTTCCATTTTTATAGCAATCATTATTAGGAACGAGGGGAGTGTACATTGTAAAATGTATAATCTACTTACACCTACCCACTGTCATTTGGCTTTTATGTTATTGCTGATCAAGATTTAGAGACCTACAAACAGAAAACCTATACAACACTCCCCTCCCCATCCCTATGTCATGTATATAACAACAAGGTCTAACATAAATGTCATGACAGCTCCTAACTTGGTATATACCATAAAATAACTAAAACTAATTCAAGTTTCATCCTATGAAACAATGCAGTACATGAAAGCCAATACAAAGCTCTGTTTATATTAAAGCTATTATCAGCAAAAGCAAATTATACATTTAGTTAACAATAACAAATATGTAAAGTAAAAAAAAAATTAATGACAAATTATACAGGATATATAAGCTGTCAGTGATGGTGCTCCCCTATTTCAATACTGGAAAGTAAAGAAATGCATGGGCAAGAGGAAAAAAAATGAAATGATATTAATATACATGTATTGCTGTTTATAGTATCAGGCAAAATCTTGATGCACAAAAAACATTATTTGCAAATAAAATTGAAAAATAAAATGTACAAGAAATTACAAAGATGTAACAATAGCATGTTTAGATGAATGCATTTCCTCTATCAGTCACCATTTTGAGGGTCATTCCTAATTTATCATATTTATCATCGATAAAAAATCTTAAAATTCATCTACATGTAAGGAGATGCAAATCTTTTTGATTTTGGTATAATAACAATATTTATCTTTCATGTAAAAGATTCTGACAATTCACCTAATTCATGTTTCCTTATTTTAATATTATAGCAATTAGGTTTTATTGAGTAATGATCCCCAAAATGGCTGCCACTTTTATTGAGGGAGCAAACTATTTGTTTTTGTTTTTATTCATTTAAATGCAAACTGGCTATGCTATAATCAACAATACATTTTTAAGCATATATCTAAGTATATTTTTTTAAAACAGCATCTAAAGTATGTTAGCCGTGTTATTATGCACTATGTTTCAATGTAGAGTTTTTATTTTCATTTCATAAAAATTCATTAACCTTTTGACCATCATATGCTACATGTAGCTTTGTAGGTAAACCTCATTAACCACCAAACAGAACATCATTTGTGATTCACAAAATTCATAGATTTCCCAATGAAATAACGATCTTTGCCTGTTTATATCCTAGGTTAGCTCTGAAATTGCAAAAAAAATAGAAGTCAGGGTGGATTTGGAGATGCAAACATAACCCTGCCTTAAACACTATTGTGACAAACCCTGGAACGTAATTTCTTTAAAGCAATTCCTCTTGGTAAAAACTTAATAATCTCCAAATTTGTTGCTCTGCAAAGGTTTATCTGTATTGCACACAAGGCATCCATCCCGTTTTGTAAAGCTTGCAGCATGGTATACTGGAACAACAGGTTGTCTAAAATGTGCCATTCATCTTAGTATGTCAAAAGATTGACAAGTAAATGAATAATACCCTTTCACAGACGTGATGGTATAGATCAAACAACCTTGTGATATTCCAGCCTATATTAATTAAATGGCAGTAATAATGGAAACAGAAATCTTATTTAGTATTTAGCATTAACATAGAATGATGGATAAATCTAGCCTTCTTTGATGGTCAAAAGGTTAATTTATTCTCATTTACAACATATGGTGAATGAAATATAACTTACATAAGCTGCTATAAAACAAATCAAGTGAAAGCATGCATACATTAAATTGTAAATGTATATAAAACAACCAAATTAATACAATATATCATGGATTTCTGAAAGTTGGATTTTTATGAAGGTAAAATTTCATAAACATAAATTCAAAACTACAACAGTTGTTGTAAACCCTGCTGTTTCAACACTCAAAATATTTAAAGTATAAATGTAGTCTAGTTCTTGTATGGGACTTTTACCCAAAGTAATCTTTAACAAAAGACATAAAACAGTTAACTACATGAAATATAATAAAGTAATTCTAACTTAAGACATAAAACTGCATGAAATATGTATTAAAGTAATCTTTATCAAAAGACAACTACATGAAATGTAACTTATTTAAAACATATTCAGATCTGTTTTGTAAAAATGAACTAATGAACTGCAACATCAATATAAACAGTGTAACAATAGACTTTAGAATGGAATGCTCACAACATGTGACAATTATCACAGGGAATGTGTTAATATAGAATAAATCAAAGACATGATTGTAAAAAAAAAATACAATAAGTAAACGCTATATCTGAGCGAGAAAAACATACAAATCAAAATTCACTTTACATACTTCAGAGGACTGTATAATATCTGTATAATACTAGGTTTATAATTTATACAATCAAAAAAACAGTGTCACAATATCAAATCTGTTTTATCTACCTTTATTTCTACTTTGCCTGCAACATAGAAAAAAACCTAATTTGTAAATATCTATTTCAAACCATAAACACTATCAAACCCTATCCAATGATAGAATTGTAAGCAAAGTACAAACATTTTAATATCAACATTGTTAAATATTTGATGGCTCTAAGAGAAAGGAAGAAAAACACAATTTTTTTTTAATTTGACTTCAGTGACCTTTGAACCTACAAACTTCAAACCCCATCACATGTCATGGTAGAATCCTTAAAAGGTAGATTTAAATAAAATATCTCAAATATCAATCATACCGGCCAATGAGTAGTTTAAGTTTCTGAAACATTCCTACTGAATTAACTTCAGACAATAAAAAAAGATGTTATGAGAAACAAAACATGATGGAACAACAAACCAGTGACTCCATGGTCCCGTAAATATATTTCTACAGAATTAGTATATACTAACATGAAAATCATAACAAATCTAATGGACAACGTCATATGTTAGAATTTTTTTTTAAAAATACTTATACAAACAGTATATAAAGTAAAAACTCTAGTCACAACAAAAAATAAACATGAAAACATCTATAAACATTTACAACAATTCATTCTTTAATACTAGAGATTCATTGTTATTAGTTTGTTCAGGAGAAATGTCTCTTTGTTTCTCAAAGTTGCTCAAGTTTTTTGTTCATCTCAACCAATAGTTAATGTAATAGTTATATTATAGAACTAAAACTACATTTGAATGAAAGTTATGCGCATTAGGGGGAGTCTTGACCCTAGAAACCTTCAAATGGCTTCAAGTATATCTTTCAGGTACAGAATGCACTTGTGAAGTTTAGTTGCTGTATGTACAAGGACTATTGTGTGTTGGTTGAGGTTTAAGTTTTGTGACAAATACAATAAGCCCAGATCAATCGATTTGAACAGGCATACATACACTTGAACACATACATACGGTCTCAAAAAAAATTATTGGTATAGAAAACTGCTGTTCTGTAATTTTATGTTATCCTACTCACAACCCATTTTAAACATTTTATATCTTATGTAAAATTAACAACCAAGGTTTCAAAGATAAAAATAGTCCTTTTAAAATTTACAGCTGCAGGAGGCAGCATTTGTTATATCATATTAAAACTTACTACTGTCTTATTCATGGGTACAATGTAAAACCTATCTATATTTTAATTGCTTATTTCCTCTACAGAAATCTAGACTAGCTTAGCTCTTTACTTGTTACATCAAATTCCAAAATGGATACTAACAGTTCACAAAAAAAAAAATTAAGAACATTTTAATAAAATTTTCATAATCATTTTCACTATCTGATAGATAATCCATATTTACTATGTTTATTTGTTTACTAATGACATATTTTTTTTTACATTAAATGAAATATGCACCTTTGTTCACATTTCAGAAAAATTATCTTTTAGCATCATCTTTTTTCTTGTTAAAGATTATCCAAATTTACTGGGTTTATTATTTGTACTTAAACCTATGTCATATTTCCTTTTTATCACAACGCATTACACAAAATATAATAATATCTATCTTCATAATAATACCTCAGCCCTCAAACTGTATCAAAAAACTTTGAAATAACAATATCACAAATATTTACAGATACATCCCATTGATGAGATAATCTGCCTCATTGGAGTGTAATTGTCTCCCCTTTCTCAAACGTCGTTTCACTGTTCGTAACCTACATCCTACGATGATTAACAGCATCAATGTTATTGCTAATCCAAGAGCCAAGGCCACGATGGGGCCCTGGAAGCTATCTGTATAACTCTCTACTTCTACGGCATCAACATTCAAAATGTTCAAGTGATCACTGTTCACTTCACCGGTATTCACCACTGAGTTGTTCTGTTTTGTACTCTTTGTTGAAGAGCTTTCATCTACAGACTGGTCACCAGATGTCTGTTCACTGTTGACTGGTTCTTCGTCATCAGATTTATCAGTATCAGCAGAAGCTTTAGAATCTGTATTTTCAGTTTCTACTTCAGGTTCAACTGCTTTGACAACAGCATCTGTTGCACTTGGAGTTTCAGGCCTTAGTGTGGTGGGTACAGTCACTTTTTCTGTTCAAAGAAAACATAACATATAATTTCAGGTTTTTTGTTTTTGTTATTAATAAGTCGCTATGTAAATGTCAATTTGTCAATCAATCAATCTAATTAACCAGAAACTGGAATATACCATAAACAAATCAAAGCACAGAAGGCGCTGAATTTGTTTGGGTCTCAGAATGTCAAAAAGGTGAAGGTTGTGAGATTATAAAACAATTTGTTTGGCTATAAGACTAATTGCAACACTGATATTTGATCCAATGTCTATTTGACTTAAACAATTTGAAAAAAAAAAGAGTTGCCTTAACTGGAATTTGAACTCCAGACCTCTCGCTTCCTAAGCGAGCGGGCCACGGTGAATTTACATGTTTGCGGCCTAAAGAAAACCATATTATTCTAGTTAGGGTTTGTAACGACGCTAACTGTTGTTTAACACTTGTGTAAATAATCATGGCGCTTACTATAAGCATGTATATCTATAAAGAATATTTCAATATTAGAAATTTTCGACTATTCGGGAATTATTTTGCTTGAAAATTAATCCGCCTGTCATGTGACCATATTTACGCAGTGATCTCCCCTAAATTTTTCAGCCTAAGTGTTACATATAAAGGGAAGTAACCGCTTCAAAAAAGCGTACTACTTTCGGCACTTGCAATTAACAGCATTAGAGTCTGAAATTTCGCTACCATTATTTGTTTGGTCTGACGACCCAAACAAATAAAAAGTAACACACTAAACATCACTTATCTCTAATTTTTCAGTATCAGATATAACATTTAAATTACCAGGATCCTAGGAATTGACTTAACTTTAAAATCTAAAACAAGATTTGTGTACCCATCAATGGCAAAGGTAAAGTACATGTAGATAAAAAGATATCAGTGGATAATAGAATAGGAAATGCAGTGTTAATGCACCGAAACAGAACTTAACCAAGCTGAATGTTTTATGAAAGCACAAGTATGATAGCCCTTCTTTTCTGTACAGGTAGTATTTAATTAAAATATCTTACAGTACTTTAATAAAAAAGTTTCTTAATCCTAAAATTACATAAACCAAAAGTGATACGCCACCAGTTAGAGCCAGGTCAGCCAACATATCTTGACATCCCCATTATTTACAATGGACAATTCCAGAAAGGAAGTCAGACAAGTCCATTTAACAAATTCAGCAGGTTAAGGGTTAAAAAGATTTTTATTAACATTTTTTATTATCCTCTCTGAAAGACAGAGCATAACTTTATCTCAATTTGCTTTTTTGTGAATGTGGAGAAAGGGTGTAATGAATTAGTTACAATACTATATTTATACAAACCAATTGTTTTGTGTGTTGTACTAGCTGGCTGTGACTGCTTCAACTTGTCTGGTCGAGATTGGAATGGTCCTTAAAATAAAAGACAGGATTTTATGATATAGTTTTCATGAAATTATTATATCTCAATATACAAGTATGAATGTACTTTTTGTCAAGTCAAGCGTTTAATTGTATAAATAAATAAATAACAATTGTATAAAGCAAGTCGCACTACATAATGTGTGTTGTCTGAACTTCACAATGACTGAATACCTCTCTAAAATACTGGCCATGTAACAAAGCCTTGTAGTCAACCTGGAAACACATTTTGATGAAATGCAGCCATGAAAAGCTGTCAGAGGACATCAAAATCTTGACTTATAAAATACTGGACACAGAAAAGTATGACAAAACTATGGGGGAAAATCAATTATAAATATATTTTTTGTATCAATACTAAAACAGCACTCTAATGCCCAACTTTCATGCATATCAAAAATTTTAACAATAGAGATGCTGGATTACAGTTTATTTTGATATTGAAATCCATGAACTGTTTCAAATTCAAAGCAAATCCATTACACCAATTCAAGAGGTTCAAGTATTTATAAATATTTGCTTGATTGGTATACAATTTGTAACCTACAAAGCACCAGCCCTCCATTTACACATGACAAATATTTACAGATGGTCTTTAATCATACATACTGTTTCTACTACCACTGTCTCCAGGTCTTATGTGTACTGGCTTCTTATCTGAAAGAGAGGGGAAAGCTTGTCATAATGGTGACAGAATAAAATATATTCATTTATTGACTAGTGGAATACATTTAGAAACTTAAAATAAGTGCTGATTACTCTTTTCAGATTAGATATGCATGTAGATAGTTATTTATTATTTCCAGGGTGATTTTAAAAATCTTTTCAGATTAACATAGATAATATAACTAATAACTACATGTATTACAGAAACTGTTTGAAAGGTTGTTCCCCTTAAAATAATGGATTTGACATATAAGATAATTTTTGTGAAAAAATATCAAGAAAGACATAAAATCATTATGCAGGGCTTAAATTAAACACTCACAAATTGAAAGTTAAAATAAACAAGCAATTATCATAGTATTGCAAGCAATCCATAAGTCCCCTACCGGTAAGAGCCCAAGCAACATTCTGAAGGGCCATTGGCCATTCACTTAGGTTCCTATGTTAAGTGTTGAAAAAGTTCTTTAAAAGTGATCACACGAAACAGTTTTTATGTACAGACAGACGGACTGAAGGACACTCTAAAGTTATTTTTTAAACATCCCTGTTATCAAAATATAACATTTTTAAAATCCTATAACATTTTTAAAATCCTATCATGATTGAAGAAGTTGGAGTAAAAATTACCAATTTCTCAAAAAAAGTCTAAGTTCAAAAGGGGCATAATTCTGGAAATAGTCTTGCTAGAGTATTGAACACTCACAAATGTTGAGTGATAATAAGAAACATTTATATGAAGTTTGAAGTAGATACATTCAGAAAAAGAAGTTAGTAAAAAAACAATGTTTTTTTTCATGAAAATTTTAAGTTCAAGGGAGGTAATTCTGATAAATTTTGTGCTAGAGTTGTAAACCTTGTCACATATGATGTGGTTGATGACAAGCAATTTATACTTAAAGTTTGAAGAAAATACCTTAAGAAATAAAGAACTTATAGTGAAAAAACTTAAAAACTAGAATCAGAAATCTTGAAATTCAGTCTATTTGTTGCCATAGCAACCAGAATTTTCAACATAGGAAGATAAGAAAAGAATGTGCATAATTTCTATACTGCCATCTACCCATATGTCAAGTTTCATAAACATATTTTCAGTACTTTTTGTGTTATCACTGGATCCAGGTTATGTGTAAAATCTGCCATATTTTCAGTCTATTTGTTGCCATAGCAACCAGAATTTTCAACATAGGAAGGAAAGAAAAAGACGTGCATAATCTCCATACTGCCATCTATCCATATATCAAGTTTCATAAAAATATTTTCAGTACTTTTTGCGTTATCGCGGGATCCAGGTTATGTGTAAAATTTGCCATATTTTCAGTCTATTTGTTGCCATAGCAACCAGAATTTTTAACATAGGAAGAAAAGAAAAAGACGTGCATAATCTCCATACTGCCATCTATCCATATATCAAGTTTCATTAAAATATTTTCAGTACTTTTTGCGTTATCGCGGGATCCAGTTTTGTGAACGGACAGACAGACGGACGGACTGACGGACAGACAGACAGACGGACGGAGGGTAAACCTAAAGTCCCCTCCGGTAAACCGGTAGGGGACTAAAAATACCCCTAGTTGATATTCATATTTCCCAAGCTTTTGCATGTGAAAAAGTTGCAATTACAGGTCCTGTTATGATTATGTCTTTAAATATATATTTGATATAACATTAACCGTTTTATCAAGTATAGACAGTATAATTTATACAGTCTATTATAAGTTTATAGGATATCACCTGAATTTATGTCTTACAACATGTTTACAAACTTCTACCTGTTTACCTGTCAAAACTTTTTTTATTTTACTCTACAGAAAAATTCATTGTTCAACATCATTTTATTTTGAACAATTGCAAGTGCAAACATGATTTTATGTTTTTTCATTATAGCATTCCACAATAAATATTTGTTTAATATAGGGATCTGAAAAAAAAAAGATAAAAGTATTAAATAGGTCAAAATAAATTCTCTACTTTAGATTTATTACATTTTTTGTAAACTTTTAGCTTATCTGAAGTGCATAAATTTTGAAACCATTCTGTAAAGATATAACAGTGAGTCTAACCTACTTAAGATTGTTGAAACATTCCTTTCGTTTAATTGGATTTTTTGTTTTTTTGGTTGGGTTTTACGTTGCACCAACACAATATAGGTCATATGGCAACTTTCCAGCTTTATCGGTGGAGGAAGACCTCAGGTGCCATTCCCTGCATTATTTAAGGCACAAACAGACACCTGAGTAGAGCCACTGATATTTCGAAGCTAGCTGGATAGCTTCCTCACATTAAAGAATCCACCAAAGTTCCAGCAGAGATTCAAACTCACAGCAATGATGGGCAAGTGGTTAAAAATCTACGACAGAATGTAATTACTAAAATGTATGTTTATATATGATAAAAGCATCACTAGGAAATAAGAAAACTTTCGTTTCCTATGACAATTTCCCCTTGCTATATGTCTAGTACAAAAATTTAAACAAATTGTGTAGAATATCAAACAAAAATCTTATATAAACAATTTACCAGGTAATGCATTTGATACACACTGACTTTTAGCTTTGAAAATAGTTTAATTAACTCTCAAATTCTCATATGATACAAATAATCCTATTAAATAGTGTATTTTACATAATTATTAGCATACATTTACAACATATACATGCATAGTGAAATGCACAAAAAACAAGGTTGTACTACATGCAAATAATAACTACTACACAAAATATTTTATTACTACTTTTAACTTTTCAAGAAGAACACAAATGTAAACAAATGCTAATTTTTTTAGAAGAATAACTTCAGAGCACACTTGAAAGTAAAATAATTCAACTACTGTGCAAACTAAATCTTCTATAAAGAATAACAACAGTAGGCCTATATGGCCCATCTGAGTAAATGGTCCAAGTCAAATATTCTTACTTATTGACTTGTAAGTCTCATAAAAGAAGATCTGTACATAATTTTTTCTCAATATAAGTCAATGAATAAAAAACTTTATAAGTAACACCAGGACAAGATAAACATTGCTTGCAAAAAGCAACGTTTTACATATACATACAACTTTTGTTGAGGCACATAACAATAATGCTAATATACTTATTTCTTAGATTTTGCCCTTTATTCTTTCAGAGGGAACAAGAACTGTCAAATTTCAGTAGGACAGCTTGCTTGACTATTCTCAGTGCTTGATAATTAAACAAGAACCTGGATAATGTAGAATTATCATAAAGTAGTTCATAAAGGGCCATAATTCTGTCAAAATCAATGTCTGAGTTACGGGTCTTGGAAAGTGACCTCCTCATACTTTCAAATAAGTGTATGAAGTTTCATTTCATTCACTTCAATAGTTTTGGAGATACCAACTTGCATGCAAGAGCTAACATCAGGGGCAATTTTTAACCAAATTGTAAATGCTAAATAACAAATATTTAACCTCTGGAATCTGCACTTGCAGGAGTGTATCTTTAATCTATGGGCAACATCAGATATTTTTCTAAGCTTATCTTTAAAATTTGACTGCTAGTTTGTAAGTAACATTATCCTTTGTTACAGTTAGCAACAAAGTGACCCTAAGGCATGGTCATTTTTATATCCCTAGGGCATGACTTATTAACTTTCATAGTGGTCTACCAGACAATTCTATAAGCCATATACTCAATCTATGATATTGGGCCATCACAATGTACTTAGGTGAGCTCATATAAAGTAAAATAAAATAAAGTCTTGTTCTATGTAATAAAACTGAGAAACTTAAATGTATCACAACAAATAGAATATCATTTACAAATCAAATCATCACATCTACACAACAAGGGCACTTTACAACAATTCTATATACCTTTAGGACCATCATAATCTAAATCATGATTTAATTGTCTATCTGGGTACACGTCAGGATAATAGTATTCATCTTTAAAGGAATCCCAAACTGGATAATGTTCTCTTTCTCTATTCCAACCTTGCTGAAATCCTGTATCATAATATGGATATCTCGATCCTGGGCTTGGTCTTCGTCTACTGTTGTCGTATCTGTTGTCATATCTGTTGTATGATGGTCGACGATTACTGCTGGGCCTCTGATAATCCTCAAATGGTAATCTATAATCATCCGGATATTGACTGTCCGTATCGTATCTTCCATTTCCTACTTTATCTTCTACATCAAACTTGCTCTTCGGATCAACTTTAGTACCAGGTTTGACATATTTATCCTTAATTTTTTGCTGTACAATTGGTACTTTGTCTTTGCTGCTATTTACATTGAGCAGACCTGGCTTTTTTCTGGTATTGCTTGCCTTTGAATCAGTAGTAATACTTGAACTGGATGCCTGTATTTTCCCCTTCTTTCCACTGACTCTAGGGGAATCATCATCATATTTCAGCCATGAATAGTCTGGAAACCCCTCTGAATGAATTTGCTCTGTTTTTTGTCCAGACACTGTAGATTGAGTGGGGGAGGCAATTTGAGTTTTTGTTTTTGTTGATGGAGGGTAGGTTCTTCCTCTGTTATCATCATTATCATTATCCTCTGTTTCTTCTGAATGTCTATGAAGTTCGTAAGCTTGGTCTTCTTCATCATTATTCTTATTCTCCATTTTACCTTCATTATATGCATAGCCCTTTTCTAAGCCATCTTTGTAAGGAACTTTATTCCCACTTTCTAGACCTTTTTCGGGGTGTTTGTTTCGGCCAACCTCGTTATGAGAGATCAGGTTGTCTGGATATCTGTGTGAAGGTTTCTCTATATCTACATCATCTGTCACAGTATCATAATAGTGGTCAAGATGGAAACCAGTTTCGTCACTTTTAACCTCGTTTTCAGGAGCTGTATTTTTACTTTTTTGCAAGTCTTGTTTCAACACTGGAGCATTGGTTGCAATTTTCTGAACTGGAGCAACATTTTGCTGTACAACAGCACTAGGTACTTGGTGAGACTGAATTTGTTGATTGCCCTGTACACTATTTTGTTGGACTGGTTGTACATTTTGAATAACTTTTTGAACAGGCTGAACTGGATTTTGAATGAAACCAGTCTGTGCTGGAACAAAATTCTGTTGCTGCCCTGCTTGATATGGTATGTTGTTAGGATATATTTGGGATCCAACTCCACTACTCAAAGGCCATTGCTGGTTGTACTGACCTTTCATTGGGAGTAAATTTAAAGCTCCAGCGTTCTGATTGGTCATTCCTGGTAAGAAGAATTGTCCTCCAGCATTCTGATTGGCTGTGCCTGGAGCTGAATAAATCTGATTGGCTGATGGGTAAATAGCAGCCTGTTGCTGATTGGTTAAACCGTTAACTGGAAAACCATAGGAAAACTGAGCGTCTGGTTGATTACTTTGAGAATTATAGAATGGATTGTTGTAAATATTGTTGTTACCGTCTCCATTCAGGAATGCTGCATGCAAATAGTAGTACAGGAATATATCATTAAACATTAACAAGATCAGAGCTATTGCTAAACATTATTCATAAAACAATTTGTATACTTATTGTATAAACTTCATTTTGTTAAACACCATAAAGAAAATGTCTAATATAGTTAATGTAATTAAAGAAAATATCTACTTAGGAAAATTCTGCTCTTATTTACTATTAGAACACTTAAAGTATTTGCAGCATGACTAATAAAAACAAAATGTTGCCTGCTCTTAGAGTTAAGCAGTCTCTCATTCAGCAGGATTAGTGACTTTTAAATGGTATTAAAGCTATATCACATGATTTTTTTTTATTAAATTTATAACCAGTAATTTTAGAGTGGTTACTTAATCTTATGGTTGATTCACATAGAATGTCTCTGTTATCAAACACACATGAATGTTGTATGTAAACAGAATGAAATGTCCTGGAACAAAATAATATTCTGCTATTTTTAGTAGTTTTTTTCGCTTAACAATGATTTAGTGTACATGCCATTCATTTTTAAGGCAAATTACAATACAAACATTTTTAAAGTATTTTTTTTTTTTAATTTAAACAGTAATTTTTGCAGCAGATATATAGCTTTATACACTTTAAAAAATGTTTTTTGATCCTAGCTTTTGGCAATTTTCTATATTAAAAGAGAAAATAAATATTTCATATTTACTAGTCAAAGTTACAGGATTTCTTTCTCATCTTTTATATTTTTCTTTACAGTTTTAACTAAAGTAGGCAAATTAGAAATTAGCTACATACCAAATATCGAATCTTTGGCCTTAGTTTCAAAAATAAATTTACATATGTATATATGTAACAAAGCAACCCCAATTTTTCAACTGCATGATATATTATACTTTTAACAAGAACTTCTAGTCAATACTACATACATGTACTTAATATCACTGTTCTAGACCTTGAAGTACTGGAGAATTTTTGAAATAGGGGTTAATATATTCTTAGCAGAATAAATACACAGGGGCATTTATTATGAGGGAGTATTTAACAGGATGTATATGTCTATTTTTCGTATCATGGAAGTAGACTGAGCATACCAGGTTTATTTTGTTCCCGGCAGTTGATTTCATCAGACCCATCATCACAATCAGGGCGGTCATCACAAACATAACGGTTCAATATACACTGTCTAGTATCAGTTCCATATGAAAACTTGTCACACTCAAATTCTTCATCACTACACAGCTTTCCTGTAAAAAAAAAGTCATTAAAGAATGTCTGAAAAGAATTATATGTAACTAAAAAACTTTGGAAGAGACCAACAAGACAATGTCATATAACAAATACATCTTTATCTGTGGACTTCAGTTTATAAAAAGAAAATTCAAAAGCATTCTCCTATTAGAGACTTTGTTAAAACTTGATTGCACCATTTTTGCAGGACTAGAATGATTAATGATACTTCATTAAAGTAAGTATTTGTTACCGGGATAAAATACATGTTAGTATTTGTTGCGGTGATAAAATAAGAATTTGTTGCCAGAATGAATAAAGTATTTCTTGCAACATTATTATGCTATTAAAAAACTTACGGCAGATTCCATGTTTTTCGTGGTATCCGACTCTACATCTACAGGTACCTAGACATTCAGCATGTTTGTCAGCACAACCCAAGTTGTACGATGGACATTCTTCATTAAGACCTGCAAAGATAAAATAACATTACTTATTCTAACACTCCTCGTGATTTTGTCACTATAGACAAAGAAGAAAAAACTGGTGTTAAACTGTCAATAAGCACTGGTTAGGGACTACTGGTGTATGCAGCCGTTATGTTTTCTCCCTCCATAATATAGTTAATAAAAAGCATTTTTATTTGTATTTTCAGTTCTTATAATGTTTTCTTTTTATACAATACCGAAATAATATCTTGCATACACTAACGCCACATATTTGATCCATATCAGTTAATAGATATTTTGACAAAACGGCTCCAATCTGTGCAAAGCAGTGTAATGAGGTCATCCTAAGTATACAACCCTTCATAAACGCTGACATCATTTCATACATACAAGAATGATAAATGGGGCACTGATGTAAAACATTTTAAGATGTAAGTTATTATTGTTGATGAAATAACGTGTTTTCTTATTATTTCTTTTGTTTAATAATTTCTATATCTTTGCAACAGTAGGGTGCGAAAAATCGAACAGCGTTATACTAAAATTGGCACTGGAAGTTATTTCCGCTTGAAAAAAAAAAATTAGTGATCTTCCTTATTTCATCGTGTAAGAATCGAAATAATATTGGTCTGAGTGGTGTTTATCGGCTATTTAACACCGGTTTTGTCGTTTTGATGCGAAAAAATTAACCACTCAAGTCTACAGCCTTTGTGGTCAATCCCTACGCATCAAAACTCCAAACTGGTGTTAAATAGCCGATATACACCTCTCAGGCCGATGTTATTTCTTAATTCATAGGCATCAAAACTCCAAATGGGTGTTAAATAGCCGATAAACACCGCTAAGACTGATATTATTTCTTAAACAAGAGCCATGTCAACATGGCCATCCCGCGCCGAATGTGTTTGCTCATTGGAAGAATGTATATGTAGTAGAGCAGAATAAATCCATTTTAAGAGGTCTTTTGGTAATGAAAACTGATGCACACCTCCTGGGTGAGATCTATGCACCTATGAAGTTTCATTTTGATATCTCAAAGGCTTTTTGAGTTATGCTCTGGACAAAAATTAATTTTGAAAAATAACAAAGGGCAATAACTCAAAAATAATGCAGGGTAGAGTTATCATTCTTAAGCACTGCACTCCTCCTCAATGAGATCCATCCACCTTTGAAGTTTCAAGTTGATACCTCAAATACTTTTTGAGATAAGCTCTGGAGAAAATAGCATGAAAAAAAAACAAAGGGCAATAATTCAAAAATTGTATAGGGAAGAGTTATCATTCTTGCGCACAACATTCCTCCTCAATAACATCTACATGTATCCACCTATGATATTTCATGTTGATATCTCAAACACTTTTTGAGTTATGCTCCACTCAGTTGAAATATTAGGTATGAAAAATAACAAAGGGCAATAACTCAAAAATTATGAAAGGTAGAGTTATCATTCTTGTGCACTGCACACCTCCTGAGTGAGATCTATGCACCTATGAAGTTTCATGTTAATATCTCAAAGGCTTTTGGAGTTATGCTCTGGACAAAAATCAATTTTGAAAAATAACAAAGGGCAATAACTAAACAAGAGGGCCATGATGGCCCTGAGGTCGCTCACCTGTATATAGCCCCCCCCCACCCCCACCGGGCCAATTTTTACCCAAGGGCTTTTATTTGAACAGACTTGGTAGACACCCATAAGAAGATGTTTCATGCTAAACATCTAAGTTCTAGCTCATTGGGTTTTTTAAAAGAAGATTTTTTAAGTTTTTACTATACACATATAGTTAAAAACAATGACACCCCTGAGGCAGGGCCAGTTTTGACCCCCGGGCTTTTATTTGAACAAACTTTGTAGATATTTACTTAAAAATGTTTCATGCATAATATCTAAACTCAAGCTATTTGGGTTTTTTCAAAGAAGATTTTGCTTTTGGTTTTCATGGCAACCAGAGTTCTTCAAGGAAAATAAAATTCTTTCCACAACTCATCTGGAGCTACATATTAATATGCAAAAAGAACAACTCCAGTACATATGAGGACAAATGAAAATGTAGATGTTCATGATAATAATGAACAATGGTCACAAAACAGACACATAGGCAAACTTTGAGAAATTTGTGTCTAAAATAATTATAAAATTTATTGTTAGTACTAGTAGAAGTCATACTCTGATATGTAATTTACATGTACTTTAACTTCAGAGCAATAATCTTATACCTGGTAGCAAAAAAAACTAAAATAAGAAAACTACATGTCAAAAATGTAAGTCAACTTATTGTTATGCGATCACTACATGTAAGAAGTAAGAAATAAATATTACAAGAGGGCCATGATGGCCCAAAGTCGCTCACCTGGGCTTTTATTTGAACAAACTTGGTTGTATATGTATGTATATATATATATGTATGTATATGTATACATAATATATATATATATATATTAATATATATGTATATATATAATATGTATATATCTAAAAAAAAAAAGTCAAGCTAATGAATGACCCCCGGGGCGGGGCCAATTTTGACCCCAGGGCTTTTATTTGAACAAACTTGGTAGACACCCATGAGAACATGTTTCATGCTAAATATCTTAGCTCTAGCTCTTTGAGTTCTTTAAAAGAAGATTTTTTAAGTTTTTACTATATGCATATAGGGAAAATCAATGACCCCCGGGGGCGGGGCCAATTTTGACCCTAGGGCTTTTATTTGAACAAACTTTGTAGACACTCATTAGAAGATGTTTCATGCTAAATATCTTAGCTCTAGCTCTTTGGGTTCTTTAAAAGAAGATTTTTTAAGTTTTAACTATATGCATATAGGGAAAATCAAAGACACCATGGGGCGGGGCCAATTTTGACCCTAGGGCTTTTATTTGAACAAACTTGGTAGACACTCACTAGAAGATGTTTCATGCTTTATATCTAAACACTAGCTATCTGGGTTTTTTCAAAGAAGATTTTTAAGTTTTTGCTATACACAGTCATATAAGGAAAATCAATGACCCCTGGGGCGGGGCCAATTTTGACCCTAGGGCTTTGATTTGAACAAACTTTGTAGACACTCACTAGAAGATGTTTCATGCTTAATAGCTAAACTCCAGCTATTTGGGTTTTTTTAAAGAAGATTTTTTAAGTTTTTGCTATACACATATAAGGAAAATCAATGACCCCCGGGGCGGAGCCAATTTTGACCCCAGGGCTTTTATTTGAACAAACTTGGTAGACACCCATTAGAACATGTTTCATGCTAAATATCTTAGCTCTAGCTCTTTGAGTTCTTTAAAAGAAGATTTTTTAAGTTTTTACTATATGCATATAGGGAAAATCAATGACCCCCTGGGGCGGGGCCAATTTTGACCCTAGGGCTTTGATTTGAACAAACTTGGTAGGCACTCATTAGAAGATGTTTCATGCCAAATATCTAAGCTCTAGCTCTTACGGTTTTTTAGAAGAAGATTTTTTAAGTTTTTCTTATTGGTTGCCATGGCAACCAGAGTTTTTAATGGAATTTAAATTTTTGAACAACTTTGAAAGGGGTCCACCTAAGGATCATTTCTGTAAAGTTGGTTGCAATTGGCCATGTAGTTTAGGAGGAGATGTTGTTTGAAAAGTTTGACGCCATTTTTTGAAGGACGCACGACGCACGCAGAGTGATGACAAAAGCTCACCTTTGAGCACTTCATGCTCAGGTGAGCTAATAAGGGATATAATCATGTTCACAGTAATTACTTATATATATCACTTTCTTAAATGTAAGAAATTATTAACCTCAGAATAACATCACATCAAAATAACGATAGTTATCAATTTAATATATTTGCAAATACATGTTTATCAAATTGAAATATTTTGAAATCTAGGTTAATATCATTTTATCAATTCAGTATATAGTTAAGGCCTCCCTAAAAAAATTGTTTGTTTCTTTTACACTCACAATGAAGTGTTTTCACTATTATTTTTTAGGCCTATAAAAACAATTACATAAATATTTGTGAAGAGGAAACAATTCATTGGTATGTATTACACCACTTTAACTTAAGTGTTGAAATAAGTACATTAAACACAGGAAGCAAAATCCCCACTTACATGGTAGGAATTAGTTTTAAAGGGTACTAATTCTACTGCTTGGTGCAAAAAGGTTGTAACTACATCTTTATGTCATATGGGTAGCCCCTTTTGCACTAATCCTCGAAATGTATCATTCCTTCTAACACAAGATCCATAAAGTATACACTACAGCAAAATTTATAATGAAAAAAGGGGAAGATAAATATTTCAAATTTCCTCAATGAACTCGGCATAACCTTTAATATATTATCTCCATTTCAATTTAGTATTTTTATGGTTTCTTAGATATAATATACAATTGCAAAATGCAAATTTTGGTACATTTTTTCTAAGTAAACAAGGGGCACAACTACATCTAGAAAGAAGTAACAGTTATCAAACTTGGTCCATAAACATGTACACACATCAGAAACTTATATTTATATCAGGATAAAAAGAAACAAAATGTAGTTTGGCCATATTGTACATGTATATGTTCTTAAATCAAATGGCAATGTTTTACAACACTACTGAAATTGGGGAATAGGTGTCATAAAAGTCCAAAAAGTCCAAATTTGGTATTTTAGAGTAACTAACAGAAACTGCTCATAACAAATGAGAAATGATAGCCTTAGTATTGATATTTTCTTGTATAAGTAATTTCAAGGGATTCCAATACATTTGAGAGTGTTATACTTCTTTAAAGTTTTGGCACTGGTAATGCCTATTTACTGGTAGATAAGTACCAGTAAATATATGTATATAAGAAAAAAAACCTGGTGATTAAAACTTAGAACAATGAGTGACATTGTGATTTTTGACATGTTGTTATAGTTTTAACTTTTAATAAAATGTATGTGTCTCTGAGATATTTGGGATACATTGAAATTTTTATATTTTCAACAATATATGTATATGTATACTATATTTATACATTTATGTAGATTCAAGTAAAAGTTATTAAACACTGGTATGTGAGTGTAGACTTGCACTGCAAAAAACAAGTTTGAGTATTGGATGCTAGGGTGCGTGAGGGATGTTGCACTTTTTTATCACCCCTCATGTGCAGACTCAATTAAACCAAGTCTGCAATTTTCATGTAATTCTGCTGATTTTAATGCAATCGAGTGATCACTTTTTTCCAGATAATTTTATTGGATCAACATCATTTACAAGATTCACAAATCACAATTCAGGATGGGTAAAGGCAGGCCAATATGAGTAATATTGCACCCGGTACTTATAATTAAAGATTAATGACAATTTCATCAGTATCAATTTTCTAACCAATATCATACTGAATGAATTCAACGACTGCTATCTATCCATGTAGAAAAAGACTCTTATAAACGTAAATGATTACATTACTATAGTTGTTTCTTATACTATCACAAACCTACAAATATATTCTAACATATCTCAATGTTTTACATTTGTACTTTCATCTGGCCTTCTTTTATCTCATCCTCTTCAAAACAAAGTCAATACGGTAGTAAACTCTTATTAACTATGTTTTATCAAAGCTTCGCCCCTTTAAGATTATTCTTATACATTAAAATATGAACTTCTGATGACAAAAGTTTTCCGTGTATAAAATATTAACAAAATAAACTGAACATCTTTGTTAAGAATGTGTTAAAATTGAAGCGTAAATACCCAGTCAAAGATGTTTTAAATGGTTTTATACAAATTCAAACAGTGTGACAGGATTTATCATAATTTTCCATAACTAGACTAGATTTAAATGACACTATGACGCAAACGGTGATCATGTCAAAATATCCAAAGTAATAAGGACAAAACATTATGTGAATTTTGAAAACTGGTGTCAAATTCATATAACAATTTAACAAAACGGATTTTCCTCTAAAAAGAATATTGTGGGAAGTTTTACATGTAAATTGATAATTGACAACATATGACACAGCCTCATCTCTAAAATTTAAGCTCAAGAAAAGCATAACAAGGAAGGATGTCAAAGTAAGTACTGTTCAAATCTTTTCCTCACATTTACTTTAAAGTTGGAAAAAAAGATTACATTGTAATTTTATATTACAATCATATTTGAAAATGGTTAGAAAATACCAAACTAAAACACTGCATAAGTAATGCACCAGTCAACTGTTTCCCTGGGACCCATCCCTGGTGAATAGTGGGACAATGACATCAGATAATAACATCCCTAGTAAATGCCCCGCCCCATCAAAACTGTCAGATGGTACAAAAATGTATAAGCCATGTCGGCACTGCAAATGGAACATGCCTGTCACTATTTTGGTGCCAAAACAAAAACCACCATGTTGACTTGACGGTGCTGGGACAGACAGAAAGTATAATCTTGACTCATTTCCCTTTTAGTTACTTTTCATCAGTGTAAAGTCGCAAAAACATTATACATTTTGATATTTTTCTAGCTTTTCTCCACGTCAATATATCAGCATTAGTCTAGCATAAATAACAAAGCTGAACAAAAATTATTTCACATGAAAAAAAATTAACTAAAATATGTTATTTCACATGAAAAAAAAAATTAACTAAAATATACAGTTAAGGATAGGGCAGCCAAACATCGCCCAACACTCAAAAGAACATATATTTATGATGAATACGGACATCACCACAGTCTTAGTATGCCTTTGTATAGATTTTAATATTATAGCTAATATTGTTAAAAAATTGCTTCATTGTTAACTCTGTTTTATCTATTCTACATGAACTATCTAACAAACATGAAAAGTATCATAAGTATTCTTAACTAAAGATAATGTGTTAAATCAATTTGAATTTGAAATTCATATAGATTGTCAAACTGTTTAAATCAAAATAACATGTTTTGCTTCTACATTTAGCTCTTGCCATCTGAATCTTTGTATGTTTTTTTCCTGGTTTTCTTTTTCCTGGTTTTAAGTCTTTTTAAATACATTTTTGAGGCATCTGTGGCTGTGTGGTTATGGTTGTCGACTTCAAACCACTTGCCCCTCATCACTGTGGGTTCAAATCCCAACAGGGACTTTGGATTCTTTCATATGAGGAAGCTATCAAGCACAGATCGGCACCTGAAGTATTCCTCCATCAGTAAAGCTGGAAAGTAGCCATATGACTTATTACTGTGTTGGTGCAATGTAAAATCACACAAAAAAACAACAACAGTTTTTGGTTATATCTTGGTGGTCTATCCACCTAACTGGCTTCCTAGATAACTAACCAGTTATTACCAATTTCTCTGCAAGTGAACAACTACTAAGCCAACATGTATAAGCAGTGAGAGACAAATAACCATTAGGCTGTCCAAGATCGATTATTCTCCAGGGAGACATTACGTCTCACCAAAGGGTAGACCAAGCGACCCCCGGATTTCTTATGATATGATTTCCCTATTGAGCTAAGCTGGCAGGCTCAGGAGAATCTAATTAAGTAAGGTAGGAAATAAAATAAATTACCTGGAAGTGTTGGAACTGGGGTTTTCACTGTAGTTGATAGATGTGGTGGAGCAGTTGTTACTTTCTGTCTGTCATGATTTCTTAAATTTTCCAACTCATTTTCATGACTATGGGTGGCGCCTCCTGGTACATAACTATGAGAATTATGGGTGGCCTCGGAAATGGTCAGTCTCCAATAATCACTGTGGGATGAAAAAACGCAATCACCCGAGTCTCCACAGTGGAACAAGAAGCATTTGCGATCCCCCTTTAAAGGAATGAAAAGAATATTTTCTTATATTATACAGACCATTAAATTACATTCCATACAGAGTTAACATTATCATTTATTTTGACATTTAACAATTTCAAAATCAATTCATTTTCATAAAATGTCTCTGAAATATTAAATGTACATAAACACAATGTTACATGTAGGTAACAAATTTAACAGTAAGTTTCAAAAGAGACAAAAAAATACATAAATATGTACATGCTTCCTATACCAATTTGTGTAACAAAATGACTGCCAGTGCCTTGTGCCCGTGTAATTTTTGTTCATGAGTTAACGTGTGGGGGGGGGGAGGGGACTAGGATGGGGGGGTGATTAATTTGATTTAAACTTTTTTTCTAAATGTACTAATTTGATTTAAACTTTCTTGCGCATAAATAGTTGCCTATTACAACTAGAACTCTGCGAGTCAGATGTGTCGCCTTGAGAACAATATAGTTTAGGAGAAATGGCCAGGACAAAAATGAAGAAAATAAAGAAGTGCAGAGGACCGGTTCTTGCACACTGCACTTCTTCTTAATGAGATCTATCATCCAATGAAGTTAAAAGACCATAGCTTTTATACTTTAGGAGTAATGGCCTAGACAAAAATAAAGTATGAAAATTAACAAAGGGCAATAACTCAAAAAATAAGAAGTGCAGAGTACCGGTTCCTGAGCACTGCACTTCGAGTCATTATAAGAAGCATGCATACCAAGTTTGAAGTCAATTCGACTTATAACGACTGACTTATGTTCTGGACAAGCTTAAGGGGACGCCGAAGACTCGGACAACGACACCAACAAAAGTAATCCCTATATGTCGCCTTTTTCAAGGTGACACAAAAATGTTCGGAAATTCTGAAGTCAAGAGTACAATACCTGACCTCTTTCACTTGCTATAATCACTTGCATCTAATAAACAACAGAATACTCAAAATTTCTATATAACTATGCTGAGCTGGAATATTTGAAATATTGTTTATCATGTTAAAAATATAAAAACTAAAATTAAAACACCAAAGCCATTACCTGGATTAAAACTAAAGTGAAACATCTGGACACATGGTACTGCTGTAAGGACAATTTCAATATTGATATCCCCCTGCCCCAGCCTTAAATAGCCTTAAATAGTTAACACAAACTACAACATAATCGGAAATATACAAACTTAACAACCTGGGTATTTTAACATTTTGCTCAACTGATGGATCACCCCACTTAATTAACAATTAAATTAATGTTATTAAATAAGTGATAATTGTTTAATTTACACATATTTATTTTACTCGTTACTTCCAGCAGATCGTTATACATTGATGAAAATGGTATATTCAAATACGTTAAGACCCATTCAGGGTGTAAACTTTTTAAACTTGCTGATTAAAAAGTGGCAGGTTTTGTATAAATTATGCTCAATTAGGTGTTTACATTGGCAAATTATAGGGGCATTATGTCCGTTGGAGATGCATATCATGTCACTTAAATGTGTTAATTGCAGTAGATTTTCAGCAGTAACTGTGTCATCATCAAAGGCAATTAAGTTTAAGTTACACCCAAAGGCCAGGATTAAATTTATTTATAAGTTAAGATCTGTATATGCGGTAAGTAAAAAGGCACGGCAAACTCAATTTAGCTTTGATGTTCAAACTCGGTGAAGTTCAGAAACCTTACTAGACTTAGTTGCTCAAAGGCCAAGTTGCTACATGATGTACATACCTGTATAATCAACATGGCACCATGTTAAACATTTTTCATGATATATATATATTACTTGTATTTCTTGAAAAAGATAAGTTTTCCAGTTGGTGGTATGCATTGAAATTTTGTTTTGATTTGGTTTTATGTCACATCAACACAGTATAGGTCATATCCAGGGCTGTCATTGATGGACAATTTTATATTGATATATCGACTTTAACAGGTGATACAATGAAAAACATTTTAAAGTTTTTATGTATGTTTAAATTAGGATCATGGTGTTATGCTTGCTTTTATTAGACTACAAATACTACCAACTAACTTAAAGTGTTTTTATCTGTTATTTTTGTCACTATCATTTGAAAACAGAGTTTAAAGTTCATGTTAGCCTAGAAAACTGGAAAAAAGTGACTTCTCTTATTACGCAAAATTAAGAGGTATTTATTTACTAACAGAAATAAAAACATTTTAGCTTGTATCGATATTTGAAAGTGTGTATTGATATTGTATCCAATGGTGAATATTGATGATATATCGATATCGCTTTATATATTCAATGACAGCCCTAGTCATATCGCGACGTTCCAGCTTTACTGGTGGAGTAAGACCTCAGGTGCCCTTCCGTGCATTATTTCAGGCATGAACTGGCACCTGAGTAGAACCACCAACGTTCTGTAAGCTAGCTGGAAAGTTTCCTCACATGAAAGAATCTAAAGTCCCTGTCGGGATTCGAACCCACAGCAGTGAGGGGCAAGTGGTTTGAAGTCAACGACCTTAACCACTCGGCCACGGACGCCCCCTGCATTGAAATACTAAGATTTTTTTTCATTGTGTTGTTTTCTTAATTTTATGATAATAGTGTGATAAATTGTTAAAATGTTGCGTTTACATGTATCTGGTATCGTTTTTGTTATACTTTTAATATAATAAATACAGTAGACTTTGATGTAGCAAACATAAAAATAGCAAAAGAAATTTGGAATGTTTGACAGGAGTCCTACAATGTACCTTCTCCCATACCCTACCCCATTTCTGTGAAAACGTGCCCCGGTGCCTGGCAAAATTCCTGCCCCAGGGAAAGGCTATAAGGTCTTCAGTTTCTTTATGAATTTATGAATATATAAAAGTTTACTATTATCCCCATACAGCATTGCAATATGTACAGTAAATGGTGACACTAATCCTTCCATTGTTAAATCTATGTGCCCCTTCCAACAAACAATTATCAGCAATAATTTTGATCAATTATCAATTAATGAATTATCGATCAATTGTTTAACCCCTGCAGGGCCTTTTCCCCTTCTATAACAGGGGCCGATATAAGGACCCTTCACAATTCAATATTGCACTATTCACAAAGCGGCAGAAAAAAATTCACAATTTCAAAAGAGATTTCACAAAATATTCAGACTTTTGTTGGAAATACATTGTTTACCTTCCGGTAAAACTTGATTTAAACCAATTGCAATAACACAGAGATTGTTTTAATAGTTTAAACCTTGAAGCAGATTTACACAGGTCAGAAATTATAATCTACCGTTTCCGGTTTCAAAATGTCGGGAAATGCCAGTAATATGTCATTTATTTCACAATTTAATGACATATCGCGCTTTTTTTCACAAAATGAACAGGCCCAGGCCCCTTCACAATTTTGACAAAAACATTTAAAAATGATAATTCTCTACAACTTTATTTTAACATAGTAAAAATCACACAGTGAATTGTTATAATTTAATATTATCATGATTAGTTGATTACCTTATCCTGGTAAACTGCAGTGTCACATGAAGGATGCTCACAGCAACGAGTAGTGCACTCTCTTGGGCAGCTTATATTTACAAAATCATTCAAAAATTCAGCACCTCTCTGTAAAGATTCGTTCGTTTTAATTATCAGATTACTGCTTGCTGTAAATGTGCATCCAAGTCCTAATGTAGCTGATTTTTCATAACAACCAACTTGTTCATCCGAAAACGGTTCATTTTCGTCATCAAAAAGTTTCAGTCGTTTTTCAATTGCTGACAACATCCGTGGATCATTTAACAAAGCATAAAGATCTGAAGCAGATTCCTTTTTGCAATAAACTAAATAAAATAAAGGAAATAAAATTACAAGCAGCTTCATTATCGATTTTGGGTGATATTTTTCTACAAACTGTCACTTTGCTGACAATTCCGTGAACACAAATTTATTTTGAACGAAATTATTTTACCACTGATATGACACATTCTCCACGCAGTTATCTCTCCTCCGTTCAAAATGAACTATTACATGGTCATTCAAATAGTTGAAAAATATGTCTCTGGTAATAGTGTTTTGTTTTTGAAATAAATTTATTCACATTAATAAAAGATAAAAAAAATCACACACTGTCTTTATTTTAGAATATCGGACAATTCCCCGCTCATTTGGTTTGTGGAAGCAACCTTACGCAGTGTTCGAGTACCTGTTGGAAGTCATAGATCTACATGTTTGCGCTTCTTTGAACGTCGCCTAAAATTGCTGTTTTTTGTTGTTGTTGTTTTTTTTCTTCTTCTTTCTTTTGGTTAACTTGACGTTAATAACAATTTGCGTTATTATATTAATTTATTTTCTGTCTCACGTGCTTATCTACGTGCTTCTTTTTCCCCCGCGCTCCTTTGAACGCTGTTCAAAATTATTGAAAGTATTTCAAATTTTGCATAATCACTTTTTGGCAAATTCCAGAAATTTTATTTTACAAGACAGAGTATTTATTCTTTATAATACACTTTCCATGACGCAGATGACCACTGAATTTTGTTGGTCAATATTCGTCCAACAAGCATTGAACCATAGAAACCTACCCGTATACTAATATAATTTCGTTTTCCAGAAATATAAGACATGTTTTCACTCAAGGTAGAATATTGATTTAACATCGATCTAAGCGTTTAATAAGTCACAGAATTGATATTATGTTTTAATTAAAATCATTTGAAATTAAATATAAAGTTCAGGGTGGATAATACTTTGATAAAATACGAATACGGGATTGTCAGCCTCTTCACCTCTATCAGTTAAAAAAAAGGAACGGAAAATTGTCCGGATACTTATGTTTTATTAGAATGTATCATTTTTTCTATTGTTTAAATGTTTCTTTTTTTTCCTACCCTGTCCCTATCCTACTCTATCATCCTTATCGAGCATTTTCTGCAGATGCGTTCAATCTCTAGAATTAAACAAATTAAATTGATGTAAAAAAAGGATATAATTAATTAATTAATTAATTAATACGTGAATCCTGGGACAGAAAGATACTAAGTTTCAAGACCAAGTATGTCCCATGTATGTCCAACAAATCAAAGTACACAATGGAAGGTGTCAAAACATAAAGGTGTCAATAACGTTAGATACAGAATAAAAAAGCAGACGTATGTAATATTTGATGATAACACATGTTCACATGTAAGCCAGATACTGATTCGACGCTGACTGTACTATATAACATACTAGTTACAATGTCCTCCTAATTGTGTATCTTCCGATAAAATCAGAATAAATAATTCAGCAGTTTCATAAATACTATACTGTTGCATTGTTCAGATCAAGAAAGTGGTATTATATCACCATATGTCGCTCGGGGTATCATTAATATAAATATATAGCGTCCTGATTCGGATGAAATGAATTTTACATTTAGGTTGCTTCCCTTTAATCGCTATTTTATTTTTACGAAACTAAGAGCAGATAACTCTTGTAACTTTGACAAATTATTTATTTCGTTCATTCATTTTATTAGGGTTCTCCTTATGTATTCACTCTGTAAATAAAAGCAATTACTGCGCGCACCTGCTGTCCTATATTGGAATAAATAGTTCCATTACTAGTTGGCATCAGCATTGTTTGAAAATTTTGCGAAGTTTGTCAATCGGGAACTTACTGGAATTAAAACTCCTTTGTACTTAATTTATTTTGATGTTTTCCCAGAATATATCAATTATTTACAAAGTTTCTGAAATTTGTTGTTAGGGAACCGAGAGAGAACGCTGGGACGCAATCGAAGAAGGTTGGATTTTACAACGTGATGTCTGCGTACAGTGCCACGACAAACTATCCGTCCCAGGTGGAAAGTTATAAGTCTACGAACCCTCAAAGGCAAAATTCAGCTCATTCGGATGAACAGACCTCTCCAAGAAATGTTAGTTTTGGAAATCCGTCTAAAAGAGAAGAGGAGAAGGATAAACGTCAAAAATACTTAACGGCCCGATACGGGCAACATCAAATGATGTTAATACGTAAAAGACTGGCTGTAGAAGACTGGTTGTACGAGAAATTAAGGGATATGTATAATTGTGAGGTATGTTCACTTTAATTAAATTTTTTGTCACGAAGAATAATATATTTATACTTTGTTTTATTATTAAAGCAGCTTGCCTCCAGATTGCTAATTTTTACGGAAAATTTAAAAATGTATTTAATAAGTAAATTAACAGAATATTGTGATAATGTGAAGTGAACAAAGAAAATAATATACAAATTGCAAAACATCACTTGCAATCCACATATATTACCCCAAAAAAGGCAAAATAACCACTGCATTAGTAATGCAGTAGAAGTATATTGTGAAAAATAATGAAAAATCAGTCTTTAATTCCACATAACATGTATAAAATTATTACTTGAATCTTAAATTTTTTTACATTTCTTAAAATCTTAGTACATTTTTCTGAAGTTTAATTTTTAAACATTTTGGCTCATCTGGAGGCATGCAGCTTTAAATATTTGGCACAGCACAGTGGATCAGAAAATGTCAATGAACTCCAACCCTGTCAAATGTAACTTTAAAATGTACTTTATTATAAACATAAAAAGTGGCTTCTTTCTTAGACATAAATTTTACTTTTATACAATTTCCACATAAAAAATACAGTTAACAGTTGACAGGAGTGGAACAATGTATGTAGAGGTCTGACCATTCCCATTTCTGCCAGAGTGCTCCAAGTCATTTTTAATTCAACTTACATTGACTTGACTTAAAACATACATGTACATATAACTACAGCTTACCCCGATTATCTCCCCTTAACACACTTTGAAATTAGGTTGCAGCCAGTTACCATGTAGGTATATCAAAAGTTCTGCCCAGCAGCAATGACTGAACACTAAATACATTTAATTGCAATCTTGGTGCGGTTATCAAAGTTTCAATTTCTTTTTGTTATCTGACAGTTATCTCCCCTTAATGCACTTTGAAAGAAGTTATGTTCACTCAATTTTGGTAAGCGTGATACATAATTTATATTTAGTGTCAGACTGTCAGTATGATTAAATATCATTTTTACAAGTTCCAGTGGTTTCATACTATATACACATTACTAGTACAAAGGCCATAATCCTTGCAAGGGACATAACTCTTTAATAGCATCAATTTGCCAGGTTTTCTGAATCTCATAATGCTCTATAAAATGTGCTTTGGTGTGTTGGTATCTGGTGGTACATTATAAGCATTAAATGAATTATGGTGATTAAATATACCATAGAGCATTATATTGATCAACAAATTGGAAGCTGGAAAGAGGCCATATGGCCCACTTTCACACTTCAACTCTTGGTTTCACATTTATTTAATCACAATAGTGTGAAAAGTTTTATGAGGATGTAATTATGTGAGTAAGATGAGAATCTAGGTTTAATACATGGAGTTAGGTTCATAGTTCTGCGGCATCATAGGATATAAAATTTGTGTTGTCTTAATTGCAGTTTATTTACATTTGTACCCATTCACTAGTAAAAACTGACATTCTTATTTAACTACATGTAATTAGAGCAATACTGTATTTCTCATATTATTCAGACAATTTCTTTCATGAAAGTCAAGCAATCATTCCAAATTAATAACAATTTTTCCCCGAGAAACAATTTTCTCTGAGTTTTACTTCTGGTGTGAAGTTGTTTTCTGACAGTTCTTTATACAGGACATTATTGATTATACTGGTAGCGCAATCAATATCATTGTTTAAGGTCTTATGTTCTGTGAACAAGCTTAGAAACGTTACATGTACATGTCATTTAACTACCAATAATGTTTCTTTAAGTTTCCTCAGTGAATTTTATATGTGCTCATTTGGCATGACTGAAAACTTGAACTTTTCTGAAGGCATAGTGTGGAATATGTACATCTGTTCATGTATAAACAAAATGTGTACATTTGTACATGTACATATATAATAATGTACACATGACAAGGTTGTTGAAATGCAGGAAACATTTCATTAAAATCTGTATTCCTCTGTTAACATCTGGAAACAATTTACCTCTGCTTTCTAGAAGTCATTGAGTGAAAATATTCCCACATGAATTTGTTAAAGAATTTTTCAGTAATGGGTTCAGTCATCCTTATTTTGTTTACAACTTTGTTAGATCTTGTATAAATGGCTTTATGTTGTTTATTGGCAGTATAAACAAAATTGTATCAAGCTAGGTTGATAAAAATTGGTATTAATTTTAATTTTAATTTTGCATATAAAACGATATTTTGATGATTTTAAAGGTATATGCCAGTTGTTCTCTGCAGATTATTAATGCTATGTCCAGGTGTTGTTGTGTTCATAGATTTCATTATATGAAAGCCAAAAAATTATCATTTATGTGTTACATGAACATGTACATTGTAACACTAGCTAGTGACTTTTTATTTCCCTATGATAAGAGAAAACTTGTACATGTAAATTAATTTGTACAATAGTTGTAATAAATGCACACAGAAAGCTTATCTATAAAATCAGTTGATAAAAATTGACATTGAAAACCAAGAGTGCAATTGAAAACTACATGTACAAGTATGTTGAAGATCATAAATCTAAACTGTATCAGGCCTTGACTTGTGAAAAGTAATTGCTGTCAATTTTGAAAACTTGTTTTTTCTTTATTATCTGAAGTTGGTTTTTATTTGAAGTTTGTACAATTATACCATATTATAAGAAGTATCATTTTTTACAACACATCCATTTATATTGGCCCTTTTGGACTTCTCGTTTTATTTTACATGACCAATTTGCAAGAACCTGTTTAGTTTTGTGCATTAGCATCAAATTCTTCAGTATTATGGCAATAGATCCCTTTAGTACTATTTCTGCATGTACATGTGTATGTACAGCAATTCAAGGCATTGCTACCGGCAATACATTTTTTCATTAACTATACTACATATTTCAGGGTTCACTGTTATCATTGTCTAAATTGTTTGGTTGGTAACAGCTTTTGGTGTCAATTAGATAAAAATTTCAGTGTGCTTGCTTGCTTTAGCATGATTTTATATAATTATATATTTACAACAAATTATTCATTAGTACATTTTATATCTCTTTAAGGACCCTTCAGCAAATGTATCAATGACCTATTACTTTGTGTTATTCTGATTCCCCTCTGATAACACATTTTTATGGAAGAATGGGGATGCTGAAATATTACTTTGATGTTGCCTATTAGGGATGTACAGGTTGCCCATGAAATTGGCTGAAAAAGTTGTGTGCTTCACTGCATTGCTAATTCTTCAATGCAGAGCTTTGTGGATAGCAATATTATAGCATATTTTCCTCCTCATTAATTATTTAAAAAAGGAAAATTTGACTAATCAATAAACTGTTTGGAAATGTTGAAATGTCACCCAGGCATACAAGTTGATGGAAAAAGGTGCCTTAATTGTGAAATGTCTAAAATTAAGCAACTGTTACATAATTGATGGCATGGCTAATGCATTGGAACAAATTTTAATTGAATTCTTATATAATTTACAGTAAAAAAAACATGTACAATGTACATATATGTATGAGAGATCTTGGATTTGGTATGTTCATCATGATGTGTATCAATCAATGATTATTAATTTGGTTATCACATGTATTTGGTTGATGTTCTTTAGACTTATTCATTACACATGTATGTCTTTAGGGACACATTAAGAGTTGTTACTATAACTGAATTATTTGCTGTGTCAGCTGAGGAAAAATACTGGTAAAAGTTTTGTCTTAAAATACTACTAGTATCCCCATAAACATTGGAAGAAATCACTTGAAACTTTGTGAGTGTCTTTAGGATTTCAGTTGTTAGTTTATCAGCAAGACACATAAGTCTCTGGTGTAGAGATTAACTGAATTATTCCTCTTGTGGAAAATCGGGTATAAATCTGTTAGCCGGTGCTTTATATTTGCAATTTTGCATTATAATTAGGTAACTATGTATGGCAAGGATGAAGACCAGAAATAGGTCAATACTTGTGAACTGGCAAATAATTAGAAAATTTTACTCAAAATTACAAGATTTTAAGCAAGAGGCGATGAAAAATGGCCTATGAATTAGTTTTTGACATAAAATACAAGATGTAAGACAAGCTTGATTATTAAAGTTTTATTTAGCACCTGAAACTCAGTTTTATAAGATGAAAGTAACCATTTTTGACGAGTGTTTTTGTAATGTATACAAATGTTTTCCGACGAACTCCGTGACAGTTATGAACAAGTTATCATAAGAACTCCATCCTTTGTGTAACTCTTCCTCCCCCAAGCTTAATGCGATCCCACTGTGCTCAAAATGCATGCTGTCACTCGGCCTTCTATGGGATACTACTGGGATGCTGCGGCGATGTTAGCTATCTTTTTGCGCTCACCTCGGTGTTCTGAATTTTCTTTGGACACCATGAGAACGCTGCCCTAGTGTGACAGAGGTTTAAGGTGTGGTGGCAGATTTCTCTTTGACATTGAGTCTGATGGTCTTTTGTCTCTCATAGCTTATGCAGAAATCATGTGCGATAAGAAATTATATAAAAAAACTTATGGTAATTTGCAGTATATTTTTAACCAGGAATACCGCTAAGGTAGACTGACTGCCAGATATGATAAAAAAAATGTTAAAATCTGAGTGTTTAAACAAAACAAACAAAATTTGACTCTGTCAATAACTGATAATATAAGGAGTTTCAATGTTAGATTACTACACAGTATGATCAGATGGCATTGTTAGTCAGTCACTATTTTAGCTATAGCTTTAAAAAAAATGTTAATCTTCGTGAATTACAAAGGGTAGCATAATATTAAGTCTTACTAGGAAACATGAAACAGAAAAATGCTACATGTATGGTTATTTTAAACATTTGAGTGGGATTTACATTAATATTACCACAATATGTGATTTTAATATATCTATTTTCTAGTCACGGATAAAACCATTTGTACTGTCATCAGGGATTATGGATTTATTAAATCCGTATAAATCTACCTAAGAGATAATCTGATTACATCATAGAAAATCATTAACATATAAACAGCTATAAATGTTCATAAGGTTTCACACTTTTACATC